GTAGGTCTTAAAGGGTTAAATAAATATCGTCAAATAATCGTGATCTCAATTTCAGTGAAAATAATCGTGATTATCATTTTTGCCATAATCGAGCAGCCCTACTTCAGGGTTGTTGTTTTTTTGGCTAAGTCCACACACATTTTCTTTTTTTTTAAACGCACGCACAAATCTTTACGCACACAAATTTTCTTTACACATACAAATCGTTTTTACCAACAAATCTTTTTTACATATACAAATTTTTATAAACACACACACACACACACAGAGATTTACAAGTACAAAATATTTATGACCACATTTTGAGCCCATAGGAAATGGGCTGCTTCACTCTTGTAATCCAGGTGCTGGCACAACATAACATTCAGAAATCAGAATTGTTTTGACTTCACATTTGTTATTGAAGGGTTTGGGATTTGATTGATCCAGCTTATACAACTGAGCATTGTGTGCTAGTGTTTGTTTGTTTTGGGTTGTTTGTTTTTTAAACAAATCAGAGCAAAATAAATATTTTATATTTGCAATGTGTCTCAAGTGTCCTACCCTTGATATGAAAGACATGTCACAGATTGAGATTTTTATTTCTGTGTATGTTCATATGCCATAAAAACAAAACAAGGACTCAGTTCTGCTGGACAGCACTACTACTCATGCTTCACTTTATAACAGACACAGAACCCTGATGTATACAGAAGTGTATAGATCAGGGTTGGGGAAACTTCAGGCCTCAAGGGCCAGTGTCCTGCAGGTTTTAGATGTGTCCTTGATCCAACACAGCTGATTTAAATGGCTAAATTACCTCCTCAACATGTCTTGAAGTTCTCCAGAGGTAATGAACTAATATTTGATTTGGGTTTGTTGAATCAGGGTCCTATCTAAAACCTGCAGGACATCGGCCCTTGAGGAATGCAGATCCTCATACACAAACGACTGCACCTCAAAAGACCAGCCTATTTAAAAACGTGAGGTTTGCAGATGGCATGGTGATCATGAGACTTGTGAAGGTTGGTGATGAGTCTGCATACCAATGAGGGGTTAAACAGCTGAACATGCTCCTTCAGGTTTCAGGGATCCAGTCTCTGTTGCCACCTAATACAAAATTATCAAAGGGGCCCAGAAGAGGATGGACCTCCTGCACCAGCTCAGGAGCTATTGGTCCATTTCTACTCTGCAGTAATCCAGTCTGTTTCCTGCATGAGCATCAGTGTATTGATCAAACCAAAGAGGACGAGAACAGACTACAGTGGACAAGTCAGGTCTGCAAGAAACGATTTGTACAAACTCAGAATTAGGAAACACTCACACCCAGGATACAACCTCTTCCAGTTCCTCCCTTTGGTAGGTGCTACAGAGCAGCTTTTCACAGGCTATTGCTTACATGTTGTCTCTACTAAAACGTCCACCACAGCTTTTACTGAAACAAACCATGCAGTAAATACTCTTTGGTTATACCTATATTACACATACTCAAATTCACATAACTCTCTCCCTCCATCTATATATAGAACCAGTTACCCACCACTATGAATAGGCTATACATGTTCATCTGTGGCACATTGCTACTGTCTGTTTCCATGTTCTCTTCGGTACATTGAAAGCAATAAAGAGCACGGAATTAAGAAAAAACTGAGCCCAGTTCCTTGTGTGTACATGCACATACTCGGACAAAGCTAATTTTGATAAGAGTTTTTTCATTTTTATTAAACACGAAAAGCTAAATAAACGTCTAAAAACATTTAAAATATCTACAGACGTAATTTTCATTCAGCAGTCTTACTTACTGCTGTCTGCAGTGCAGACAAAACTTAGTAAAAACAATATTTCATTACTGTATACAGTTTTTACAGACAAAGACTGCTGAGCCTGTTAAAACTGGACATACGAGGAGTGCCCCCCTTCGTGGACTCTGCAGTACTCCTGTCCTGGCACGGCTCTCTTCTTACAGACTTTTCCTCTTTTTGTGAGGGCATTGCACAGCTGACGGCCTGACACTGAGCTGAAGGCAGGAAAAACAGAAAGATGCCCTTTAACAATTCATATTTCCCTTTTACTCATTATGAGGTAATATTGGAGGGTAATTATTAATTCCACAGTTTCAAATAATGAGGTCAGTATACATTGAAACAACTCCTATAGGCCAAAAGCTCTTGGAGACTCTTACTTCTATTTCTGTATGATTTCAGTGAAAACGGGTATCAGTAACATAGCAATGAACTGGCAGCTAGAATCCCTAACATGACATGCTCATTTCAAATGTCAGGGTTACACACCCACCCACACCAAAGTACATTAAAATCACAGTCCATATAAACAATTTAGCTCTTCAAACAGAAAAAAAAAAAAATATGTGCATGTAACTGGAGCTACTGACCTGTTGCTGACTAACGATGGAGTGGGACTTGCACTTCGTGAATCATTCCCTAAATCATGCGAGTCAGTGACTGAATCAAAAACACCTTCCAGGTTACTCAGGGGTATATCGTAACAAAGAGCCTAAAAGAGATTTAAATTAAACGATATTTGTCTTGCTTGCCACTAGTGATGCACCGAGAATCCAGTTTTTGCATTTCTGAAAGCATTAATTCAGTTTGCTTACCGCTGAAGAAAGTGGCTTTGGTTTAAACCTGGGAGTGGAGTGATTTGGTTTACCAATTACTGCCATAAGCCTCAACTCTTCCTCAATGATGTCATCTTTTTCATCTCTGAGCACAAAAGGATAGAGAATAGGTCCAATAGATGCAAAAGGAATCATTGTTAATTTGGTGTAGACAATAATACATGTTCTACTGCCTGAAGCTCTTACTGACCGTGTAGAGTTCAAAATTCATTTTTTACTCAAACAAATCATCAGTTACCAGTTTGAGCACTGACCAGTGAACTCAAGAGTTTCTGATTGAGCCGGATTAAATCATTAGCTAAGTTTAACATCTACAACATGGTGCTCATTTAATAAATTACTGTCTATATCAGGGGTCCCCAATCCCAGTCCATGAGGACCAGTGTCCCTGCAGGTTTTAGATGTGTCCTTGATCCATCACAGCTGATTTAAATGGATAAATTACCTTTTCAACATGTCTTGAATTTCTTGGTAATGAACTAATCATGTGATTCAGGTGTGTTGACCCAGGGTGAGATCTAATACCTGCAGGGACACCAGCCCTCGTGGACTGGGATTGGGGACCCCTGCTCTATATTATAATTGATAGCTGCAACCAGTGTCCATCAGCAAGCAGACGTCACCCCTCTTCCATGTCCAGTTTCAAAACACCAAGATGGTGATGGCCTTAACATTCAGTGCAGTCCGTTAAATTGAACATTTTCAAAGACCAATACGCAAGTTGCAGTTCTAGTGTGCAACATACTCACTTCTGTGGTGTAGATGATGGTGGATAAGAGTTGCAAGGCTGCTTCTGCGGTTCCACAATGGTGCACGAGCTGAGTAGCAGTGGACTGGTCAGCTTTTTCGTGATCTGGAAGCATGCCCACAGCTGAGTCACAAACCAGTGACCTGCAGAAACAAAATTCACACTGTGACAAATGCTTCAGAAAACTGCAGCTAATGTATTTTCCTCATAAGTGACTTTATGTTTATACCCAGAGACAGAGTGAGCAGCAGCAGGCTGAGGCTGGTGAGATCCAGCGCTGGCTGCTGGTTGACTTCAGCCACTGCATTCAGAGGCACAGTTAGCAGCAGCATGGCTCGAGAGAAACCAGGACAGTGCAGGAATGACAGCAGGACTGCACACAGTACAAAGTAGCCTGTGTGTGTGATGCACGTCCATATAGCTGTCAGACTTAAACCTGTTCAAGCAAAAAGCACAAGAAAAAGAATTCTTAAGTCATACAGAAACCTTTTTTTAGTCAAAGACAATGTAAAGAATTAATTTCTAAATGTGTCCTGCTGACAGTCAATTATCCAACTTCTCTGTAGCAGGAAAAGACCCTATAAAAAGGGAGTGTGCCCTATGGCTGCCGTGTCTCACCTGCCCATCCGAGGTAGCCCTGGATCATGTGAAGCCTGTCCTCTATGCGGCTCTGCATCTTATCGAGGTAGTGCAGCATGCCTCCCAGGGTGCTGTTCATGCGCTCCAACTTGTTCATCAGGTCAGTGTAGTACTGGGAGGTCTGATCCTGATACTGCAGAAACTCTATCATACTGTGGTCTACTCAGCCACATACAAAAAGATATGTAAGCACATTGCTTGGGGGGATAGTTTTATAAACTACAAATGATTTCAGCCATTTACCAATTTTCTGATAGATGTCCTGAGCTTGGTGTCTTACATCTGCCAGGTCCTTGACAATCGCCTTGTGGCTGTCCTGCACCTCAGAGCCCTGGATTTGAAGATGCTCGCTCACATTTTCTAAAATTTAAAAAAAACAAAAATAAGGTGGACAGAAAGAATAAAATCCATGCTACATGATGTGGCATCAGGTGTGTTTACAGAGTTTTCTTAAAGAGAATTGCAGTTCAATATTTTATCTTATTTAAAAGGGGAAAGTTAAAACTTCCAGAAGTCATTCAGCACATCGAACTGTATCAGGTCATTTTCGAGTACTTTGACAAACAGTTTCTTTTATCCATGGTCAGTAGTAAACCCATTTACAAACTGCTGCAATTTGACTGTTAGCACATGAAAAGAGCCTTTATGTCGGATTATTTGCAGTCGCCCCCAAAGTCAATTTTAACAGAATAGAATAAAAATACAGAAAAATGTAAAATTCTCACCCATTCTTTGTGTAATTCCCTGAATGAGCTGAGCTACCAACTCCTGTCCAGAGGCGATGAGAGCTTTTTCCTGACCCAGACGCTCCAGGTTGTCCCTCAGTGAACTCGTCATCTGCTCCTGGCCCTCGTGCAGCTTCCCCTGTTGAGCCTGCAGAGCACTGTGGCCTTCAAGCAGCTTGTCCAGTGATGCTGCAGTCAGTTCTTTCAACTCTACCTGGCCCTCCTGTTTGAAAATGATCCATGAATCCAAGAAACGACTGATTTGCAAAATAAAAATAATAATTATTTTTTAAACCCAGCCTTACCTTCAGGTCCTTCATTGCATCTAGCTGGCTGGTGGCTGTGGAGATGAGTGCATTGACTGTGTGCTCTGCTCTGCGCCGGAAAAGCTGCTGTCGAGTTGCATAACAAACGGAGCGCGCTCGGTTGCTCACTATATGGTACGCATTCCACGTATCGGAATCCATGGATGCTGTACACTCTTTGATGGTCTAACACATAAAATTGAGATTAGCACACAACATTATATTTTTTTCATTATATTTTTAAAGCCATTTCTGACAAAGTACTACAAGATCGTATTTTTACCATCTCCTCTGTGCATAGGTACGTCTGGCGCCCCTCAATCTCTGCCTGGCAGTTAAACAGTTCCACTCCGAGCTTTGCGAGCTTTTCTTCTGAGAGGCTGTCACAGCTCGACTTTAGCCGAGCGATCACCTACAGGAGGAGACAAACCAGAGAAACATGATTCCTCTGTTTAAACAATGTATTGAAAACTGTGCCATGAGAATTTTATATGAAAGACACTTAATAACACTGTTGCCCAGCCTTCTCCAAACTCAAACCTAATATTGTTCAAAAACATTTTATTTGTCCGTTGGATTAAATACACCTTTTCAAGGCCCACATACCCTGTAATGACAGCTGTCCAATGGGCTGAGCTCCATCTGCTTTGCCTCAGCTAAAAACTTCTCATCTGCAGTTGCCATCTCAAACTGAGCGTCTTTGGCAAGATGTGCTGGAGCCACTGCAGCTGGTTGAAGAGGTGCTGCTGCTCGAGGTGCCTCTGTCAGCCTCAGCCACTCAAACAGCCCGTTGACCGCGAGACACTGACAGGCCAGCATGCTGACAGTCAGCAGGAGGTGCAGGTAGTGGATGAGGTGACCCATGTCTGGATCAGAACATGACAAGGTGCGCATGCAAATCATCAAACATGGGAAATACATTTCTCATAATCCCTGCAACCACACTATACTGCCAAAAGTAACTGCTCGTCTGCCTTCACATACATATGAACTTCTCATCCTACTCTTAATCCAAAGAGTTTAATATGATGTCGGCCCGCCCTTTGCAGCTTCAACTCTTCTGAGTTTAGGTCTGTTTATGGGTTGTTGTTTTTTTTTAATCACTTTTGGGAGGCAGTTACTCAGAGGTGAGCAGTGCTGTAGAGGGTCCTTATCCCATCAGTGTCTGTTCCTTCGTGCAAGGAGTAACAGGATAAACACTGCCACACTCTTATAAAAGGACCTCCAGCAGGACCCTGGTGTGAAGGTCTCTCACTAAACAATCACAGACTTCATGAGGGTGACCCGAGGACCCAACGTCCTCTAGTGGGCACTGTGCTCACTGCCCACACCATGGAGCCTGACTGGCATTTGCCAGAGAATACCAGAATTAGCAGGCCCACCACTGATGTTTTCTGCTGCACAACATTGCCTGGCTTCATGTAGCGAGAGTATGAAGGTAGTTCCTGGAGGAGGACAGAGTTGATATTACTGACTGGCCCCCCGTGCTTTCCTTACCTTAATCCAGTAGAACATTATGTTTCAACTAATTGAACACCAGCAGGTTGCATCTTAGACTGTCCGGATCTGGGAGGAGATTCCCTCAGGATACCATCACCATGCCCAGACCTTGTCAGGCATGCTTACAAGCACATTGGGCGGGGGGCAGGCAGAGGTCCATACAAACTACTAAGTACCATTATGACTAGCTGCAATTAAAATTTCCGCAAAGTGGACTAGCCTGCTGCATCATTTTTTTACTTTGATTTTCAATATGTCTTTGAATTCAGCCCTCTGTAAGGTGATCATTTTCATATCAGTGTAGATATGCAGCATGATTTTTTTTTTTAACCCTCAGATCTGATGTGTTGCTTTAATTTTCTTTTTTGTTGTTGAGCAGTGTACAAAAAGCAACAGAGCAAATCAGCCAACGCATCGAAACTATTGACCAGTGGAGAGAAGAACTAAAAATGTTTAACCAACTTAAATCCTGTGGATGTTAGGTGGTCGTATCGTAACACCCCTTGATAACGTGCCTAAACCACAGGGCAAAACCTGCTCAGGGACAGCTTTAGCAAAGAGCCCAAGGCAATGACCCGAGCACCAAACTGCCCAGAGCTCATTCCACTCAGGCATTTATGGAAATGTCCGGACTGGTCAGAGCTGTTCTGGTGGTGAGACCGTCAGCTACAAAACATTAGCCAGGTGGTTTCAACATTGTTGATGATCTGTGCATATTTAAACGAATATTGTGACGATGTTTAGCATATAGATATTTAGCATTCTGTATATGACTATAAAGTGTTTCTGCTGCATTGGATGCATTAGACAATGTGGAAATAACAACTACCATTTATTTCTCTGATTGAATGAAGATCCTACCGAGGCTTGCCCAGGCATGTCCACTGCTGCAGCGCTCTGCTGAATACTTGCAGTAACATCATTTAATTAACAAATAATCACTTTTGCATGACTTAAACGGGACGGAAACGAAGCTAATTAGCTTACTGTAAAAATGTTAAGTTGTTTTCCCCGATTTTAAAATACTGCAGTCATTAAAAAATAACAACAAATTAGCTATCATGTTTTGCGATATGTATGAACAGTTAAAATAAAAACGCCCTATTAAATGCATAAAATAGAATAATTTGTAAACAAATACCTGTTGTTCAAGGAGGTCCTTGACAAGGTAAAACACTCGCCCCCGCCCCCGTCCCCCTCACACAGCTGATTCAAATGACAGACACTAACTTTCTTCAGCCCGTTTAAAGCTTCTCGTCACGACGAGGCCACAACCAATGGAATGGCAGACGTTCTTTAAAAAGGTGCGTTTCATTTATTTCACGGTTGAAACGTCCTGGACACGGCGGAAAAAAACCCCGGAATGTTTCGCAGAGGATGCTGAGCGGCGCCGCCCACCTGGAACAGCAGCGACAGTGAAGTGAAAACCAAACGATCCAACAGTGGAGCTAGAGTCAGCTGGTTGGCTCTGTGGATGCTCTGGGTGCATCCACGGTTTAAATTTAACTTCTGTTTGCGGTTGCCAAAACGCCGGATATCAGCAAATCTGAAACACAAATCAGGTGAATAAATGTCCTACCGCCAGCGTTACCCGGTTTTGTTCACGCTATTGTGTTTGTGTCACTCCGTGTTACTTTATGGTTGTCCAGTCAAAAAGAAACACGTGCATTGTGTTTCTAATCTAATCTCTCCTGGATTATTTTCAAGATATTCCTATTCAGATGCATGAGCGGGGCTTTTCTTTTCTCCATGTTTAGAGGGTTTAAAACGCATAATTGTAATACTTTATTGATTCGGTTTTGAAGATTCCGTGCTAAATACTGCTTAAAGATTTTAAACTAGCAACATCACAACAGCTCATGCTACAGCAGGCATGCTAGCACCTATTAGCAACCTAGCCGTGTGAACGCTAGTTCGTGTGGGTTTTCATGAGACTGCATTGCTAAAACAATGGACGATTCTGGCATCAAGAAGCAGAACTGGGACGTGAAGGAAACGGAGTTGTTTCTGGAAATTCTCAAGGAGCTGGACATGAAGAAGTGCTTAGACGGAAGGAAAGTGAGGAATAACAAACTGTTCAAAGTGGCACACAGAAGAATGACAGCGGCTGGTTATCACAGATCCGTGGACCAATTAAAGTTTCGCTGGAAACTTCTCAAAAGCGCATACTACAAGTGCAAGCGAGAGCCCGACTCCCCAGCCCCAAATAAAATACAGGGCTGGTGGCGCTATGAAAAGACGATGGTCGCTATTATGGAGTCCAGACACCCTCTGGTGGGACCCGGGGTTAACTCTGACAGAAACGACGAGGTGACAGAAGAGTCAGATGGCGAAGCATCAGTACTACACTGGCCGCAGCCCTGCCCGGACAATACCACCCAGAACCTGGATTTAATTGTAGGGGTGATAACCGTGGAGGCGGTGTCGTATGTAATTTACGATGACGTAGGAGGGCCATTGTAGGTATTAAAATAACTGAAATATGGCGCCTGGGAAGACAGGGATTAATTCCTTGGAAATTCAAAATTTCGGAAAGTAAATGTGTCGAATATTCTAATTTAAAGATATAAACTTATGCAACTTTCAAAAGGGAAGACGTTCAAATATTCTGGCAGTATAAAGCCCTAAATTTAGAAGGAGAGAACCGGGATACAGTAATGTGCAAAAGTCTTGAGTCACTTCTCATTCAGTTATTTTGCTAGGAAAATGTGAAATGGGTGTGATGAATTATTGAGAAATCAAAGCATGCATGAAAATACAGAATATAAGGCAAAAACAGTTTGTACAACTCTAACAAGCTTGAAAGTCAATATTTGCTTTGACTGCCTTTTGACTTCTTTGTCTTCAAGAATAGATCTCCAGGCGTCTTGAAGGAAATTTTTGCTGCTTTTTGCCTCAGTTAAGATGATCCCACACTGCTTCAGTAATGTTGAAGTTCTGGGGAGATCAGTCCATGGCTGATCACGCCCCATTGTCTTTTTTTTTTATTTATTTTTTTATGTTCCATTGTCCAGTTATGCTTTTACTGCATTGGCCATGTGTCTGGGCTTTTGACCTGTTGAAAAATGATGCCGTTGCCAGTCAGGTTTTTTGATAGTATTGCATGGTGGATCAAAATCTGATGGTATTATGGCAGTTTTGGCAAGATCAAAAACGCCACTGGCTGAAATGCAGCCCTAAACCATGACAGAACCTCCACATGTTTTACCGATAGCTGTAGACACTAACTCTTGTACCTCTTTCCTGACCTCCTCTGGACATCATTTGAACCAAAAATTTCACATTTAGATTCATCAGTTCATAAGACCCGAGCGTCTGATTTTCAACCTAGTTTTTGTTTAATTTGCATACCTCAGCCTCCTGATTTCCCTTCCTTAACAATGGCAAACCGTCTTCCACAGAGACAATTTCTGATGAAACCGAAGAGCCCAAAGCATCACACATGCAGGGTGGAAGCAAAAGATAAAGTATTGATGGGTGACTCAAGATGTTTGCACATTACTGTAGATTCAAATATTAAAGTGTCAAATTTAAAATGGGAAGATATGTCTGTGAAGGTTCTCAGTCATCCAGGTCATCGTAGTCAAAGGAGCTTTCAAAGAAAAGCGTCTGGACTTCTTTAAGTTGCTTGAAGACGTTTCACCTCTCATCCGAGAAGCTTCTTCAGTTCTAAGGTCAAAGGTCTCCACCATTTGACCTAAGGTCTCCACCATTTGACCTAAGGTCTCCACCATTTGACCTTAGAACTGAAGAAGCTTCTCGGATGAGAGGTGAAACGTCTTCAAGCAACGTAAAGAAGTCCAGACGCTTTTCTTTGCAAGCTCCTTTGACTTAAAATGGGAAGAAAAAGATTTACAAAAAATCAAAAACAGATGCACTCCAATATTGAACTTGTATGTTTGTTATGAAAAAATCAGACTACAACTAAATTTGCAAGAAAACACACCCTTTCTCTGGCTCCATAATTAAACTTAAAATGGCCCAAATATGCCATAATAGTCAGTAGATCATGCTACATGATGTCATAGTCTGCTTGTTTTTTAATACATCTGGATTACAGTATACACTGATATTAGGTGTAGCTCACTTTTTTAAATTTAAATACAGTATACCTGTCTGGCAATCAGTTCTATATTCATTAAGACTGTAATGTCAGAGTGACTCTCTCAGTTGCTGAAATAAGGTGTTTCTAATATTCTGTCAGGTAAGTAACGGTCTCGAATCATTTTCCAAACAAAACATAGGAAAAGCTTTCAGTATCAACATAGTCAAATTTACATTTTTACATATACAAAAATACACTGCTTCCTATTAAAGTGTTTCCATTACAAGGGTAATTCAGATTCCTGAATTAGTAGGTATGATGTTGTGTAGAAACATGTACAACACTAATAACAACACTATAATATCGATCAACAAAAACGCAACAATTTTAATTCTATATTAATCCAGGTGTACCCCAACAAACACTTAAATTATTGTCTCTGCAACATGTGTCCAAACACCACTGTTATTTTTTCCACTGCATCTTTAGTGGGGTTTATTCATATTTTCATGTGCGCTTCTATTGACTGTCTTTGTTTAATTGGGAGACTGGCAGTTGAGTGTGAGTCACGTGTTTCTAGGTTCAGTCAGACCAACAATATTCAGTTGCTCATTGACCACATACAGTGATACAGGCTGCAGTCCAAACACGAGAGAAATCGGATGTGCACACTGACTGGTTTCTGTACTTAAGCCTTTTTTTGTCCTGCAAACCCAGAACTGGGTAAAGGATGCTGTTTCATAATGACCTATGACAGGGAAACCAGGCTGTGGCAGCATTTTACTGGAGGAGGGAGGGGAATCTGATTACTGACCACCTGTCAACTAGGATTTATCATATATGTGTGAGTTTGTTTTGTTTTTTTGCTTTAACCTGATTTCTCATAGTAATCGGGTTTCTCATATGCATGGACACAAAGATCTGAACACAAATTGATTGTCTTTGGAGTGGTGACGTTTTTAGTGTTGATTCTTGTCTGGATTCATTCCCTGAGTTTATTTATTTTTGGTCTGTAAAATGTACACAGTTTAATATCTTCAAACAACAACGTGTGAAACCCTTGTTACAGTGGAAAATGCATCATCATGGTGATTTTTAATCACTGGCATCATGTTATCTCGATGTTCCTGCTGTAACCTGCTGCCTGCTTTGGTTTCAGATCAAAATGGACCCTGAGATGGACTCTCAGCTTAAGATTGGCTTTATCGGTGCAGGGAACATGGCGTTTGGCATCGCCAAAGGCATCTTATCCGGTGAGTGTAGAGAGAACTGAAGAAGTGAGGAGGACTGGAATGAAGGACACATTAGTATTTAATAAATGTTCTCTTTGTAGGAAATGTCCTTCCTGCAAACGTCAAAGTTAGTGCACCATCCTCAAGGAATCTGGGACGCTTTCAGGTATTGTGGAATTTTTTTTCCATCTTGTTTATTGTTCTATCATTTAAGTTCTCAGTGTGAATCATTTTGCATTGAAGTAAGCAGTTATGGTGAAGATCAGTTTACAGTTCAGTCTAAAACTGTAGTGAAGCAGCCAGTTATTTTTAAGCAGCGTAAGTATTTGTAACATTTTTACCTTTTCGTAGACATGGTCCCTATTCTGGGAATCAGGTTTACTAACAACTGAATTTTTTAACTCTGAGATGAGGAAAATTCTGGCTTTTCTGTTCCAGAAAGACGGTTAACTTAAACTTTGAGTCAGTCAATCGGTAAACTCTGTGAACTTAACCTGCTCTGAGTTTCTTTCTCTTCCCTCTTGCTGCACCTAAAACGACTGACTGACATCCACGTTCATTTCTTCATTCATAAAGTCACCATCAGAGGACATACTGGAGTAAATGAAACTGCAAAAGTTTGTTTTAAAAATGCTAAAATCCCAGTTAGATGATGTGGGTTTTTTGCAATTAACATGAGCACTTTTGCGATCATTCATTCGTCTATATTTAGGGATGGAAATGGCGATTACATCATTGATCTATGACCTGGTCAGAATATAAAATCTGTACTCCCCATCTTTCTAACGCTAATACTTTGTATAATAATGCAGGTGTCAGGCTGTCAGTTAGGTTCCTGTACTGCTAACATTTACTTCCCTTTATTGTAGCAATCTGTTTCAATCAAACGTATATAAAACTGATCAATGATCAATCATTTGTCCTCATTAAAAAAAAAAAAAAATGTCTGCCACAATTGGGATGTTGGAGATGATGTAACTATGAGCCTGACCTGACTTTAAGGCAAAACTGAAGACAGTCTGTTTTCTAAGCAGTTCATGTTAAAATGTGGTCACAGGTTGAAATTCAGTCATTAAATGATGCCTCCATGTTTTGAAAGGTACAATGTCTGAAATTCAGAATCTGAACTCGATGTATTTTCTACTGAAAATCACCTTAAATGGTCTCATTGGGTCAGCCTGAACCAATCCACATAAAGGTTTCTCGTCAAAGGTTATTTTAAGGATCATTAAAGCACGTCCTGACCAGAGTCCATTTATCAGTCTCAGTGTTAATGAAGTCAGATCATTTTTTAAGTCGGTTCCTAGAATAGGGCCATCGTCTTTCGGCTTGCATCAATAGATCAGTGCATCAAAGTTTAGTTTAGATTTTAAAAAACAAGGAAGCGTTGGATTTCTCAAGCCTGGTGTGAAACCACTGGGTTTTATGAAGGGGTATTACAATTTTTCACAAGCCCCAAATGTTTGTTTTTTTTCTTTTCAGTTGTCACTAAAGCTGACATGGGAGGTCTTCTGGCTGTCACAGCTAATCATAAGTGTGGAAAGCTGACAAACAGAAAGTAAAGTCATATCTTAGCAACACTGTGACCAATAGAAATAAAAACCTTATTGCATCTGGCCACTACAGGGCACCGCAATAAACAATACTGCATTTTCTCTTAACCCCTTGTTATTTTTGTCACTTAAGTTAACTTTGTGTGTGTTTTTACACAAACATTTAATGATTTGAATGTTATATGAATTTGCTCTTTGGAGAGGTGGTTTTTGCATTTATATATTCTTATACTGCTTGGAAATGAAATGTATACCACTTTAGATTTGGGGCCTAACCTTTCTGTCTCTGACAGCTGTGGTCATTAAGCTTCAGTCTGCTGAATCTTTCCCCAAAAATGAGTCAGCAAACTGTGTTGTTCGGTTTAATCACTCGTCAGACCACTTTAGTGTTTTGTTTTTCTGTTTTCTTTTCTTTTTCCCAAAAGCATATTTTTATGGTGACTGATGAGTGTTTTACACTTTTCTCACCTGAGAATGAAAAATAATTTTCTATAACTTTTTGCAACTTTGTACTGTTCGTTGAGAGAAACAAAGTTGCTCAATAGATAATTGGATTATATCCAATAGATTTTTTTTTTTTTTTAAATTGACCCAGTAAATGATTAATTGACCATTTAAAGTTTACTCCTCTCCTCTAAACTCTTAAACAGCACTTTGCATGGCATTAAACACTGGCTTGCTAATATCACTGAAACAACACTGAGTCTGTTATCATGGCGGAGTTTTAGAAAGCAACATGAACTGTAATCATGTCATAAGCAAATAATTGTAATACTGGAGGACATCTTCCAAGTCCTAGAAATGTAAATGCTTCTGCAAAAATTAACAATATAAAGGAATTGTGTGCCATCAGCATGATTTGATCTTGTGTCCGAGCTAGTGCTTCGGCTAAGTAATATTACACCGGCTTGCTTTTAGGAGCTGGGCATTGCTGTAACTCACTCCAACATAGAGGTGGTTTGTGGGTCCGATGTGGTCTTTGTCGCAGTCAAACCTCACCTGGTTCCGCTAGTTCTCAAGGAGGTCACACAACACGTCACTGGCAGACACATGATTGTATCTGTTGCAGCAGGAGTAACACTAGCAACGTTAGAGGAGGTGAGTGCCACATAGTTTCTGGTGTCTTTTAAGGGACAGATCACCACTGAATCAGATTTGCGTTCTTCTTTTGGCTTGTAGTGTGTTTAGGTCTGTACTGTCATGGTGTGAACGAGTTTTTGAGATGGCTGCAGAGATGTCTCTCTTCTCTTGTGTATAAGTTGCTCAAAGCTCCCCAATTTGTATATTTTTATTAACTCTGTAGCAGTGTCTCTTTATGGAAATCACGAACCATTATTTCAAATACCACAGATCTCTCTGAGCAGTTTCATGTTCAAGTTTTTCAAGTATTTTTTGTATACCACCTCCATCTACCAATAGAAGAGTGCAGCTAGCGAACATCAGAGTAGAGTCGCCTGTCTTCATGGGCAGAGGCACAAATAAAGGTTCCAAATAAAGGTATAGTTGTATGGAAAGAAAATAGTTCCTACCTGAAACTAATACTACACACACAAATTATATATACAGTGCTTACATGTATCAGATCATCACCCAGTTACATCTTTATGCCACAGCTGAGCTGCCCTAAATTAGCAGTGTATGTAATTACAACATCATTTGGTTCTCTAATGCTTAATCCACCAGTGTGCACAAACTCATTAATAAAGGGGATATTTTAATGCTAAAATATGATTCTTGTTCTTATGTTTTATGAAAAAGCACATTTTTCTTTATTAATATGCCAAATTATAATTGTTTACTTGCATGTTATATTTTATTAATTGCTGATTTTTTTTTTTAATTTTTTTTTATTCTTTTTATTTAATTGTACTTATGTGCATGCACAGATTTCATTTTAGGGTGAGCTGTAACTTTCAATGCTGATCCATCTATATTTGTCCTCTTTTAACGTCAAGCTCCTTCCTGAGAACTCTGTTGCCATCCGGCTGATGCCAAATCTACCGTGTTTAGTTCAGGAAGGTGCTCTCCTGTTTGCTCGAGGATCACACGCAAAACAGGAGGACGGCGCACTACTTCGTTCCTTGTTGCATCGCTGTGGTTTGGTGGAGGAGGGACCTGAAGCCTGGATTGACATCCATACTGGGCTGAGCGGGAGCGGAGTAGCCTTTGTGAGTGTCCTAGATTTTATTTCTTTTGGTTGGTTTATTTGTTTTATCTGAAGTCTTTTGCCGCTTTTCCATTAGTACCTACTCGGATCGACTGGTTTTCCATTGCAGCAGAGTACAACCCAATGTGTGTGGTTGTTGTTATAGCAATGTGTCCGAGCATGACATGACGTAATTAGTATGCAACTCGAACACTACAAAAAAGGTGGAAGTTCAGGCAAGAATATACGTGCTGCTCGCTCTGTGGCTTTTCATCAGACTTGGGGAACATGGCATTGCTTTTGGTAGCCATTTAACCCGTTGCTGGGTTTCAAAAATGGTGGTTTTGATTTTCATGAACGAGATGCTCTCATAACACATCAAATGACACTCCTAACCGGCCAATCACTGGCATGCAGTCTGGTGACGTCTTGGTGCCTGTTAGGATCGCTTGGAACCCTGGTACCAGGTACTGGGACCTAATTGAAAACCGTGGTGAAAATAGGTACTAATGGAAAAGCGGCTTTGTAACTTCTTGTTTACAATTGTAACATGAATTTCTCAGACCATACACATTGCTTTGAAGATGACGGTTGCTTATATATTCCAGGCTCCAGTTGCCTAGGTGTCCTTCTAATCTATTTACACCCAGGTCATGTGTCAATCAGTGGTATTCTTCACTGTCACTGGTAGTACCTGCCTGGAAGTTGAGCTTCCTGTGAGCACAGTTGAGCTCAGAGGTTTACCTGAGCTCACCATGGTCATGAATGTCATGTCAATTTTGGGCTTTTTATGATTTCTTTTAACTGTTCTTTTTCCAGAGTCTTTAATGACTTACTGACACAGAGTTCATGTTTTATTCTGATCAGTGAGCTTCTTCTCTGCAGGTGTATCTTTTTGCTGAAGCTCTGGCAGAAGGAGCTGTTAAAATGGGCATGCCAAGCGCTCTAGCCCACAGCATTGCCTCTCAGACTGTTCTGGTCAGTTTAACACTTTGCTCACTTCTGTTTTACAACAGTTCACTTCAGAGCTCTGACTCCTGCGTGTCCAAATACAATATTTGAAAGCTGCTATTTGCTGCAGGGTGCTGGGAGGTTGTTACGTGATTCCGGGAAGCATCCAGCTCAACTTCGCTCGGAAGTCTGCACGCCAGGTGGAACAACCATATATGGGCTTCACACACTGGAACAAGGCGGTGTGAGGGCGTCAACCATGAGTGCTGTGGAGTCCGCCACCGAGAGAGCCAGGGAACTCGGCCGAAAGTCAACAGCAGGGAGCAGAAAGTGATGGACAAATTTGCCTTTAAGAACTACTCATTAGACTTTTAACTTGATAAATACCCAACATGGAAACCTGAACTCCTCTTTTTTTTTTCTTTTTTTTTTTTTCTTCTTCTCTTCTCATCACACTCAAAAAAAAAACCAAGTTGTCCCTTTTTTAAATCACATTTTCTCATCTTCTTTCAGTCTCTGTAAGCTAAAAGTCAACATTGGCTTAATCTTAAAATTGATTCTGACAGTTTAATATTAGACCATGACTTCTGTTTTTACATGCACTCAAATAACCCTGTCTTATTGGATTTGGATGCAAGTAAGGTACAACCCAAATTTGATTGTACCAGTATTTGTTGATATATTCTAATAACGAAATGCTGAATAAATCCAACTTGTCACATTTACTAAAAGTCACGTGAGACTCGAAGGTTGAAGGAGAGGCTAAACGAGTAGAAAAAAAGCTGTTATGCAGACCATATTGTTAATCATCACTACAGAAGCCCCTGTTATGAACATCTTCATTGCTGTACTGCCTTACTGCTCTTGATTGGATTGTAATGTAGAGTCAGTGGATCATTTTAATCTTTTAAATTATTATTATTGTATTTAATATGTTTGGATAAAGCATACGTCTAAATTTTAGGATAAGAGTAATCACATTTGTGTGGCTCCAGTACAATGATAGTGTCCCAAGTATAGCTACTGTATGGTTGTGTATAACATGGTGTATGGGGGAAAAAAAATGGTTCTAATTTAAAAATAAGTATCAATTTTCATAAAGTGTGATGTTATCAGGTTGTGTTCTTTATTTTTCTGTTAGTTTTGGAGTCTTGAAATCAGCTATTAGCTGACAGCTCAGACTTAATTTCTGCCCTTTAATACAAAAGATAACAAGCCACTGCAACAATGAGTCAGTTAGCCTAGAAAGAAACATTAATAGGCAGCCATATGGATAAATCATTTAAGATAAATTCGATAAATTCTTCTTATAATTTGTTTTGGGAAATTATACACTGAATATTGTTAGATCTGAAGTCAGTGGTCAGCCAAGAATCTGACTGACAATGTATTACCCTTTGACTGCGGCCTGATCCACAAAGCATGTGCTGTGGGTGTAGAAGAGGGTGGACAATTTGCTGCGTCTTAGGCCACATGGAGCCCCTTCTCCATTAGCAAGGTCGCAACTTGGACCTGAGGCCCACCTCTTCCTGCTCCAGGAGAGGTGGGCCGCAGTTGGGAATTCCTCTGAAAAAGCTTGAGTTTGCATTGAGGGAGGAAAGGTCTGGTCTCTTTATAGACTGCAGCCCAGACCTGTGTACACATTAAAAAATGAATGAATGGGTGTGTGTGGATTGATGGACAAAGTCATGAGTTCACTGATAACAAAAGGCACCACAAAACTAATTGTAATCTTGAAAAATAAAACAAGTCCATTTAGTACCTTTTCTGGCCCTGAATAACATTACATAGTTCATCTGCCAGTGCGTCATATGAGTCAAAATTCAAGACTGTTCACTTGAACTGGCTGAACAATAGAAATAAAAAGTTCAGAGGATTTGAAATCTAGATCAAAGAGAATGAAACAGTTTTTTTTTGTCACTGATTTGTCTATAACAGCAGATGTAAATAATTTAGAGACTTACAATAATAACTGAGTGAAGGTATCATAAACAGTAAAGCCTGTCATACTAAGACAGCGGTTGGAAATTATGAGGTGTAGCTTTAAACTGAGTTGTGACCTAATTTGGTGAGATGCAAATACTCCAGTGTCACATTTATTCCAATTTTAATATATCAAAACGACATGACATTCAACACAGAGCATGAGGCAACATTAATGATTCATACCTTCCCTCCCCCACCCGCTAAGATCACACAATCACCGCTGTTCCTTGCTTCCTCTCCGCTTCCTCTTCTTCCTCCTTCCCGCTGTCATTCACGACCGGAGAAACACGTTTTATCCGCTGGCCCGGCCTCACACCGACAAGACAAAAAAACCCCACAATAGTAAGTAAGCTCAACGCCGACCGACAGCCTGGTTTCAGTGTGATTGTTAGTGGTGGGAATCTTTAAAATACATTTTGGGTAAACTGACGGATATTCAGTGGTTAACAGAGCAGGCGCTTGGCTGGGATTAGCCGTGGCTAGCAAGCTGCTAGCTGAATGAGCAGCGTGCTAGTGCTAACACTGTCGGAGCGGCAGTCACGCTTGCCGGATACCGGCTTCAGTGGCTGCTTGTGCTGGTTAGGTTTTTACGGCATTGTCAGTATTAAAAATAAGCTCTTTGGGGCCACGTTTTAAAACAAGTAGACTTATTCCGGTGCAAATGAAATGGCTACTGCAGAATTCATTCTAGCTAGGACCGAATTAAAGAAGATGAAAGCTGGCTAAGGTTAGCAGGGCGCGCACCTTTGGAAGTTGACAGCGCTCCTGATGCTCTGTCTTTTGTTGTTTAGCATTTGGCATGACAGGGTTTTCTACATGACGTTACACAAGTATCTTTAAGTGGAAGTGCTGCCTTGAATCCTGGAACATGGTCACTGATGAGCTTCTATACAGATCAGGGCAGGAGAGGTAAATTCTTGTTGTTTTAAATCACGTATATATTTTTTTGTCAGCCACCCTCTTTAAATGTTATCAAGGAGGGACTGATGAATTAAATTATTTGTGAATGAAATTTCACCAACTATATACATGCAAGGATACTCAACATCAAAGGAGAACAAAGCATATTCTATATAATGCCACAGGGTGTCTGGGGTGATTTCATTTTTCTCCAAATTATAAAGTCACAGGGATATCAACTGAATGTTGGGAGCCAGCCAAAACCGACAATCAAAATGTCTTAAGTATACGTCAGCCTATATCTAAATATATCTATATCTAAATCAACCATTGCATAGAATTCTTCTTTTTTCTTTTCCAAAAACTGCTTGAAGCCATGACATGTTCCAAAATTGCCATGTAGTTTATTTTGAGCTGATCCAGCACCCAGTGCACCACCCTGCTGCCAGAAATACTCACCAGAGCTGCAGCTCGAAATAGCTCCCAATAAATTAAGTATTAACTTTTGTTAATAAAACTAAGCTAAATTAAAAACGGCAGTTTCCTACTGTATGAAATATTTTTGGGGTGCCTTCAGATATCCTCTTAACTTCAGTGACAGGCAACCATACTGGCTGCTAGTGGAGCTCCTCAATACAGGATACACTCTCCCTGAAAATGCACAGAAATTGAAACGGATAAATGAACCTCCCCTCCTACCGCAGCTGAGCCTAGTCAGCAGTTCTTTAAGAAGATGGATAAAATCTGTTTTCAACATCGTATCTAATTTGTTTGATCTGTTAATTAGATTGAGTATTGAAAGGTGTGATGTGCTTTAACAGCAAATGTCTACTTTTGATGATGTAGAGGAAAATAAACTGCTCCCAACTGAAGGGGGGTTGGGTCCAAGTTTTGCTTCATGTTCTAGGATTATATTGGATTTCTGTGAAAGCATTTTTCCCATTCAGCATCATCCAAGGCTAAAAGTGGAGCCATTTAAAGACTGCGGAAAGGTTGACTTTCATGTTGAATATCTGATCTAGATAAATTTTTTAATGTATAGCTTGTCTTCTCCCATCTTGCCTTCAGAATTTCACATGTGAGTATTCCTTGTAACGCTGTCACATACCTTGCATTGAGCACAGACAGTACAAAAGATGGATGTAGCTTCCTGGTTTGAAAAAGTTAAGCCGATGTGGAAGTGCCTTAAACCGGTTTTTAGTCTGAAAGCCTAAAGATGGCTATAACTATGCCTTCAATGAGTGTTCCTGTCCTTTAGTCTATGAGGAAAAAAGCCTTTCTGTTTTGACCTCTGTAAACACTTTGCTAGTTCTTTGTCTTAGTTACTCCTTTAAGATCATACTCAATAAAATCTTAAACCTACCACATGTCAAATAGGAGGCTTATCAGTGGTATTTTCTGCTTGTTCATTGGCTAACGGCTTGTCAATCACAAGTCGGGAGCCAATGACCAAGCAGTTTCACATTCAGACATACCCTTTCAAGTCACATCCAGTTTCTTGCAACCAAAATGGAAATGGTAGAAACGTTTGGCTTCAAAACAGGAGTGCAGAAAACAATGGGTCACATCATGGTAGTTATGTCCGTCTTTTGTACTGTTTCCACCCTCCTTAAATGTTGTATCCCTTGTATTGTCTGATTCATTTTGCAAGGTGGTGATTGATAAATTTCTTTTCAATGGCTTGCGGTTAACTGGATGAAAAGAACGTGTTGAGCATTTGACTTTGATACTAGGTTGAGCTCAACACCTTTACTGAAGAAGGTGAGTTAACAGATTGACTAAGATCTCCTCATAAACATCAAGCAGGAAATGACTTCCCAAACCAGTACCCAAAGTTGTTATAGCTTTGTATTAGTTTGGATCATTTTAACTAAGCTCTGTATGAACAATAGGGAATGCATTTGCTGTATTGTAGTATATTACTAAAACTTAAAGATGCATGATTTAGTGCATGTCTGAATTGTAATACCTACTGTATTATTATTTTAATTTTATTTATTTATTTTGCATGCGCATGCGTTGCATTGGTCCACTAATGTTTTTCTTTTACTCAATGACCCCTTTTCTTCCTGTGATTGCTATCATGTCATTGTGTATGTTCAGTGTTGCAAAGCTGTTTAAGGTTTGTAAAGTACATAATGGAAGCTGTAAACAAAGGAGTGCATTATAAGGTCAGTTTAATGTGTATCCTTTGCATAAATATTTAGTCATAAATGGTGCTAATAATATAAAAGCTATGGCATATGCTGGATATCTTACTAGCTCTGATAATACAGTGTCCTCCGTGAAAGACATGATTGATAAATCAGATTCTAGAAAACTCATAAAAAATTAGATTCGATTGATCTGGGTTAGGACTAGAGATGGATCGATCCGATATTACGTATCGGTATCGGTCAGATACTGACGTAAATTACTGGATCGGATATCGGAGAGAAATAAAAAAATGTAATCCGATCCATTAAATATCAAAAAAGCGCCTCACAAAACTTGCGACACGTAACTCGGCTCATAACCGTAGCACGTCGGAGCAGTGTGCTCACGTGATAGAGCGGCTGTGTGTATTTGGAGCCTCGCTACCAAACCAGCATTTCATCTCCGAGGAAGTATCCCAGAGAGAAGTAAAGCAAGTGTGTAAGTTCATCTCTGAATGTTTGTAAAGCATTCCTGCCGTTAAGCTTAACAACCGATATATGGAGCGACTGCCTCTTCTTGCTGCTACTTCAATCATGAAACTGCTTAATGATCAGCTGATCGCTTTTCTGTCGCGAGTCCGTCTCTCTGTTTGTTTTTGGCCCACTTCGCACCAGAAAGAGGAAACCAGCGGCTGAACAACAGCAGCACGTTTAAGCTTGATAAGCTGTTGTTAGAATTTATTTAATATTACTTTCTACACCAGGATCTTTTTCTACGTAGCTGACGGCTGGTAACTGTGCAGGGGCGGATCTAGCAAAGTTTAGCCAGGGGGGCCGATAGGGCATTAACGGGAAAAGGGGGCACAAAGACATACTTTTCTTTCTTATTCTCATTTAAAATGTCTAGCTTTTAATAAATAATTATCTGACACCCAAAGTTTTAATCTTGATGTAAAATGATATAGAAGTCCATTACTGTATATAGTAACTATTAAGTCTAATATACCCTAGTAAGCTATAGTACTTTTTCCTTTGGGAAGATTGTCAGTCTGCAATTCTGTTGAAGAAAGATGTTGAATCTATTTAATTATTCTTGAAAAATAATTATTTCTGTGCATTTTTTTCACACTGCATCAAATTAAAGTTGATTACGTCAGATTAAGCATCATGAGGTGGAGGGTGGGGGTGGTTCCCTATTTTTTTTTTTTTTTTGCTGGGAGTTTGCAACCCTATTAGTTAGGTTGCTTAATATTTCTGCTAAGTACTCTTTAAAATACCAGAATAGGAGGATGGAGTAGGTTTAAGTTTATTAGATTGATCAGTATTGCTGAACTATGAAATATTTTGGGTGCAGTGTATTTTTTACATACAGGTATAACAGAATAGCTTTAGTGTTGTTGTTTATTTAAACTTCAGTATGAATTTATGCTAAATGCAGCAAGATATTAAAAAAACAGTTTTATCTATTAAAAAACACACTATATCGGAATCATATCGGTATCGGCAGATATCCAAATTTATGATATCGTATCGGACATAAAAAAGTGGTATCGTGCCATCTCTAGTTAGAACTGGGCGATATGTTAAAATTATTGTTTCTCAACATCAGTCAGACAGGCATGCATTGCCTGTGTATTAATGGGGTAAGGCACCTCTGTATGAACAGTATCTCATATCTTCTTGTGTATAATCTACTAATTCTATGAATTAATAGTTTATAATCATAACCACATGGAAAGGATTGGGTTTTTTTTTTTTTGTTTTTTTTTAAATAGAAATTCTCACAATTATTTAAAGTCTTTGTGGATTAACTTGCTTTATTGGGGCAAAGCTTAATTTAGACTTCTGGATTGAGCATATGTAGAGGCTACGATGTATCTTGTCAGAAGTGAAGCTTATCCATTGTGATTGACAAGCCAGTAAGCATTCTGTTTCACAGTCTGCAAATATGGTGAAAAACTTAGCTCGAGACTCCATAACAGGACTTCACTAAACCAACAGGTGATGACATAGCAACCAAGAGCATCATTTATTGAGGTTTGGCCACTATGAGCACTAACGTCTGAGTCACACAAGCCTACAGACCAGTCAGTCCTGGCAACCGCCAGATGCTAAGGAAAAATGTGTATTCCATAGCCAGTTGGCTAAAACCGTCTCGTAATTGCTTTGATCATTAGCATTTTGAAATGATGAACTTGTCTCCAAATACTGTCCTGCTCCTTTCTCAGCTGTGGCGAAAGTGTGAAAAGTGCAGTGCTGAATTCTCAAGGTGACAGACTTTGTCCAGTCACCTAACTTCAGTCTACA